ACTTTTCCCCCCATGCATTTTGATTCCAAGGAGTCATCATAAAGCCATCAACTATGGGTCTTGGGGGTTATTTTCTTCTCTTTGATCTATTAATATAAGTTGATGCAAATCTGAACAACAGATGAAAACATATTATTGCTACTGCTGGGGCTAGAGACACATGCTTGTACCCTCAGGAGATCTGAGTTCTATCTAGACCAACATAGGCTACTTAGTAAATCCTGGCTCAAGAAAACAACACAACAGGAAGCTGGGAAAGGTGATTTACACCTGGGATCTCATCACTTACAAGGTTCAAAAGTTCCAGACCAGCCTGGGTAGTCTGAGATCCTACCTTCCTCCCACCCTACCAAAAGAGAAAACACTAACAAAAACTTTTTTCTATCAACACCTACTGGTATTGATTCTGTTTATAAAGTATTTTTCTTCTTGACAATCCTACCAAGTTTGCAGGCTTGACAGACTATAATCAGTAGATAGGAAGAGAAAGGCTTAACCACAATGGCATAAGGTAATCTTAGAAAAACCTGTAACTTAATTTAAAAAAAAAAGTCTATGTACTTTTGGGAGTTGGTTCTCCCCTTCCATTCATACCATGGGAACCAGAAGTCAAACAGTGGTATACATAGAAAATGCTTTTACCTTTGAGTCATCTCTTTTTTTGTTTGTTTGTTTTTTGTTTTTTGATTTTTGGGTTTTTTTTTTTTTCAAAACAGGGTTTCTCTGTGGTTTTGGAGGCTGTCCTGGAACTAGCTCTTGTAGATCAGGCTGGTCTCGAACTCACAGAGACCTTTGAGTCATTTTACAGGCAAAAAAAAAAAAAAAAAAAAAGAGTCCTTCACTCTTTTTTCCAATTGTTTTGTTGTTTTTATTTACTTTTTACATGCATTGGTGTTTTACCATGGGCATCAGGTCCCCTGAAACTAGTTACAAAGAGTTGTGAGATGCCATGTGGTTGTTGGAACTGAACCTGTGTCTTACAGAAGAGCAGTCAGTGCTCTTAACCACTGAGCCATCTCTCCAGCTAGGGTCTTTCTTTCTTCCTTTTTTTTTTTCCCCCCTTCCTGATTTTTCAAGACAGGGTTTCTCTGTGTAACCCTGGCTATACTGGAACTCACTTTGTAGACTAGGCTGGCCTCGAACTCACAGAGCTTTGCCTGCCTCTGCTTTGAGTTCCAGGATTAAAGGCATGAGCTACCACCACCAGGCACAAACAGCCTTTTGTTGTTTTAATTTATAAATGTTTACACTTAAATTTTCAGGAAGCTATTACATCAAAATGAGGTATGCTCATTTATAACTTTCTTTGAATCAGTGAAATAAACCTAATTAATTTTCAACTATTGATGAGTGACCACAATCAAAGCTTCTTTTTCTGCTGTTTGTTTTTAAAGTTTGTGTGGGTGGGTTTACCTCATATGATAGGCACACATGGAGGCCAGGGCACACGCAACATGCAGGAGGCGGATTCTCTCCTTCCAACATGTGGGTTCCAAGGCTCAAAGTAGGACTGCCAGACTTGGCAGCAGGCAACCTTATTTGCTGAACTATCTCACTGGCCCCTTTCTGATTTCTGAGACAGGGTCTTACTAGGTTACTCCAGCCAGACTGAAATGTGCAACACTCAACCTCCCAAGAAGCTGGGATATAGACATTCACCACAGCACCAGCTCAAAAGGGAAGGGAAGTTCTGTCTCAAGCAGTTCACATATATAGAAATGAGCTCCAGCTGAACTACAGAAGAGACATGGCTCTCTCTTGGCATATACCTGTAGCAGCTATCAAGACATGAAAGCCCGTGCAAGGCCCCAGGCTCCCTAGTTATCACAAATACCTGTTAGACATTTCAAATTCCACATTAGCCTTCCGGCGTTTCCCTCCTCCCCCCAGCTTCTTGTCCTCCTTATAACAGGCATTTTTCTACCCCATGCTCTCACTTCTCTTGCAGATAGCCCTGTTTATAACCAGTCTACTTCTTTTTCTCACTGCTCTGAACTCTTCCAGACGCTTCTGGATATTTCTTCTTATTCACAATAAACACATTCTACCTAATGAAGAAGCCATATCACTGTTCTCTTTACTGTGTCCCTTGCATACAGAGGGGAAATTTTTGCTCTAGAAAAGAACCAATTAAAAATATCTCAATGCCTGGGCAAATCTCTCACCTACATGGAATTCAATAATGGCTTGTATTCAATCGCCAGTACCACAAAAATAAGCAAATCTGAAGCACAGTATCACAGTAAAGAAAATTTAAAACCTAGGGGGCCCTGAAAGTCCTAGCTACTGGGAAAATATCCACCCACCCCCTCCCCTTCTGTCACTCTGCTCAAGTGAGTGCTAGCCAGCCACAGGCCAGCCAGGGTCCTCAAGACATCCATGGCCCCCTTTTGCGGTTCTGCTCAAGAGGGGGCTAGCAAGGCACCAGGTGTGGTGGAGAAATAGGAGAGAAAGAGAAATAGAATGGCTCATGTGCTGTGGGAAGAGACAGAACAGAAGAAATGTAGACAGTGAGGAGAAGGCTGATGCTGGAGGCCTGTTTGTCACCTGGGGCTATGGTGAAGGAGTAGGCTAAAGGAGGAGCTCTGCTTGACACATGGGGCCATGGTGATGTCCAGGCCGAGCTGCTGACAAGGGCCATGTCTGGGTCTGTGGCTCTACAGCAGCCAACATCTGTGACTCCTGTTGCAACCAAAGGCGGTCTGGTTGGTTGCCCAAGTCTGATCAGCAATTTGGAACCATGTTGGTAACCAAGGGCCATGATGCAGACAAGACCATACAGACCTGAGTAACATGTACCTGGTGCTATGACAATGTACAGGCCAGGGCTGCAACTGGAGGCCGTGTTTGGGTCTGTGACCCTACTGCCGCCAGGATCTGTGTGGACTTCAGAGGCTCCTGTCACCATTGAAAGTCATACAGACACACGAGGTCTGGGGTCATGCTGGTGTCTGAGGGCCACACTAACACTGAGGCCCATGCCGATCCGAGTGGCCTGTGTGTGCTGCCACCTGGGGCAATGGTGACATCCAGACCCAGCTGCTGCCAAGGACCATGCCTGGGTCTGTAGCCCCACTGCACCTAGGGTTTGTGTTGATGTCTGTGACCTGTGTCACGTCAGGGGCCCATAGGAATCATGGAGATGAAATCAGAGGGCCCTGCTGAGCCAGCCTTACCCTTCATTGACCCAGGGAAAGCTCGTCTTGCCTGTGGCTGGAGACTGCAGTAAGACAGCCAGCCCCAACCCTCATGGGAGAGATGGCCCAACACTCACTGCAGGTGTGAGTAAACCAATCCTGAGGGCATGGGTGACTCTGAGGGCATGGATGTAGGGGAGTTACCTCTGCCCTCTCACCTGAGATAGAAGGCCCCAGTTGCCCGTACTGACCAGCCCAGTTACCATCCAGGCTCACAGCTGGTCCCTTGGGTTGGCTCACCCTAGTCTACCCCACCTAGGACATGCTGGAACTTGTGAAGGGATTGGTCCTATGGAACAATACTGTCAGGATCTCCATGACTCAGGGCAAGTTCCAGGGAGGACCCAAGAATGATGGTGTACCAGAAACCAGAGGCCTTGAACCAGACCAGTACTCACCGCAACATGTGCTAGCAAAGCTGATAGGACAGAGGGTATACGTGTGACACATGAAGAGGTGTTGGAGAGGTGGGGAAAAAAGAAGAGTTTTTGTTTGTTTTGCTCTTGTTTTTGTTTGTTTGTCTTGTTTTGATTTTAATTTTCTTTAGGGGAGACACTGCAGGGGTGAGCAGAAGATATGGAGAGCCAGAGGGTGAGCGGAACTGGGGTACATGATGTGAAACTACCATAGTCATCAAATTTTTTAAAAACTAAATCATGCAATAGCCAATAGCTACTTATAAAAAATAATTGCCTACTTTCATTTTTTTTGGCACAATCCAGTGTTTCTCAAAGAAGCACCACTGGCAACTATTCAATGTGAGGGGCTGTCCATGCAAAACATGTAGTGCTCATATTACCTGCCTATTAAATGATATGATGTGCTCCTATTCTCATTCATTATTACCTTCAAAATTAGCTCCTCTCACACCAAAGAGTGACCCCTTGTCCATAACTAAGAACCACTAAGATCTCAAACCGGGGAGGAGAAGTGGGAAACAAAAGCAGGAGGATCTCTGATTTCAAAGCAAGCCTGCTCAACTGAATGAGTTCTAGGATAGCCAGGGCTACACAGAGAAACCCTGTCTCAAAACAACTTGGGGGTGGGGGGAGGGGGAACACCATAAATTTTGTATCTTTATTTTGGTTTTGTGAAACAGGATGTGGTAGTTTATAAAGAGAATGGTCCCCTTAGCTTCATACACTTAAATGGTTGATCCCCAACTATTGGGACAGTTTGGAAATGATTAGGTAGTGTGTCACTGGGGGTGGGCTTTGAGGTCTCAAAATACTACCTAATTCCCGGCTTGTTTCACTCTGTCTCATGCTTTATGAATCAAGAGGGACGCTCTCAACCACTGCTCTAGCACCCTTTCTAACTGTAAACTCCTTGAGACATCTTGGCAGCCCTGTTTGCTTGTTTGTTTGGGGAGGAGGATCTTGCTATGTAGCCCAGGGTGGTCTAGAATTCATAGGTTCAAGTGATCTCCCAGCCTTAGCCTCTCTCAAGCATCTTGGTCTATAGGTATTTGTCATGATACCCAGCAAAGACTTTCTCTGACACACAAAGATCTTTTCCATTTCATTTTTGTTTATTTGTTTGTTTTTTCAAGACTGGGTTTCTCTGTGTAGCTTTGTAGACCAGGCTGGCCTTGTACTCACAGAGATTCAACTGCCTCTGCCTCCCAAGTACTGGGATTAAAGGCGTGCACCACCACCGACTGGCCCATTTCATTCTTTTTAACATATCTGTGTAATACTTTTTATTCAATTACCAAGTACAAAGTGATAGGTGACAGCTTAAAAATGACTCCAGGCCTTCCTAAAAATCAAGGTGCATGGGCTTTGAAAGACAACTGCTTACCTTCTCATAAAGAATTTGCTTTACTTACTTTTGATCTTATAAATGCTATGACTTAAAAACCCCAAGGTCTGACAGATGAATAAACTGAAATTCATAAAGTACATTATCCTCCCATTGAATGTTTAAAACAATAATATAAACATATACTAATTATTAGATACTCTAGTCAAACACAATTATTACTGGTAATATTTTAATAACTCACCTGATTTCCTTTAGTCCTTCTCTCTGAATAACTTGAAGAATTTCTTTATGACTCATGGGTGTATTGGGGTATTTTTCTAAGACCTGAGAAACAACGAAATAGTAACAATGAATTCTTATTTTAAGTTCTCATTCTTTTTTTTAATGGAATCATGCTGCATTTTTTTGTTTTGTTTTTTAATTTATTATATATACAGTGTTCTATCTGCATGTGCCTGTACGCCAGAAGAGGTCACCAGATCTCATTATAGATGGTTATGATCTACCATGTGGTTGCTGGGAATTGAACTCAGGACCTCTGGAAGAGCAGCCAATGCTCTTAACCTCTGAGTCATTTCTCCAGGCCCCTTAAGTTCTCATTCTTATAATTGTCTATTATTATGTCAATAATTAGATCTAAAACATACATATATAGAGACTTCACCCAAATCTTTCCCAATAGCAAATAACAAGTCAAATTCTCAAGCAGAAATAGATCCAAAGGCTAAAAGTAACACTTCAATTATTCATATTATTGCTTACTTTTAGTCTCCATTCCCATAACCCACCATTGTATACATTTTAAGATTATCTACTTTAGTGCAATATAGTGGCACATGCCTTTAATCTCAGAACTCAGGAGACAGAGGCAGGTAGATTTCTGTGAGTTCAAGGCCAGCCTAGTCTACAGAGTGAGTTCCAGGACAGTCAGGGCTACACAGAGAAAATCCTGTCTCAAAAAAATTTTTTTTTGTTTTTCCATTTCTATCAAATACTACTACCACATGGACACATAATAAATTCTTAAATAAATGAACATATATTTATAGCTATATTAAAATTACATCTGTGGAATACCACTCTCTCTGCTGACTGTAAATGTAGTATTAGCTCACATCCCTACCAACATGTTTTCCCCACTATGATGAACTATGCCCTCAAACTATAAGTTAAATTAAATCCATGCTTCCTTCCACCACCCCAGTAGGATTTCTCTGTGTAAAATAGCCTTGGTTGTCCTGGAACTGGAACTTACTTTGCAGACCAGGCTGGCTTCGAAATTAGAGATCCACCTTCCTCTGCCTCCTAAGTATTGGTACTAAAGGCATGCACCACCATGCCCAGCTAAATCCATGCTCCATTAAAAAATGTCAGTGTTGTAGATGCAATAAAGACAGTAAAGTTAGTTTATTCTGTCTTTCTCATTAAATTTAACTAAAGTCTGGACAGAATGAGTGGAATCAATAATTGAGGACACTGAAAATGGTAACAGATAAAAGGAAACCACAATTAGAAAAAACACAGTATAGTCTGAAGTAGGTTTCCTGGTTTTGTTTTCTCTACAACCTCTTGGCCCAACCTCAACAGCAACTTGAAACGCAAGAGCACACTAAAACAGAAAGTGATCCAAGACGAATCTTGTCATTTTTGCTCTGAAGCATAGTAAAGGGAGCTCTTCCTATTCTTACAGAGGAAGAGAATTCTTCCAACTTGCTTTTAGGCTCTGGGGTATGTCATTGTTCTGTTCCTCTCTATATCTACCCAAGCAACATAGCAGTGTTAAAGACCACACTTTGAAACTAACCTCTAGCTGACATAAATCCAAAATAGATGCAGATAGCTGCAAGAATTCTAAAAATTAAAATATTCTGAAATTTACGCCGGGCGGTGGTGGTGCACGCCTTTAATCCCAGCACTCGGGAGGCAGAGGCAGGCGGATCTCTGTGAGTTCGAGGCCGGGCTGGACCAACAGCCTCCAAAACAATACAGAGAAACCCTGTCTTGTAAAACAAAAAAAAAAAGATATTCTGAAATTTAGTATGCAAGAAGATTGGTAGAAACTTAGGAATTAAAGCTAATAATGCCTGGCATGGTTAACACATTCTTTTAATCCCAGCACTGGAAGTAGTGGAGGGCAGATCTCTGTGAGTTCAAGGCCAGTCAAGGCTATACAGTAAGACCCTTATTTCAAAACAAAAAATTTCCCCAAAGGATTTAAAGAAGCATTTGATATTTTCCTTTAGTTTGGTTTAAAGACAGATTTTCTCTCTAGCCCAGATTGCCCATAAACTCCCTGCCCCTGAACTTCTGATCCTCCTCTCTCCACCTCCCCAGTGCTATGATTTCAGACAATCTACATCCATCTGGTTTATGCTAGAGATGAATTCCAGATCTTCTTATATGTGATGCACCACTCTATCCAATGAGACATATCCCTGGCCCCTCGTGACTGTGTGATCCTAACAGCATCAAAATGTCAAAATATATAATGTGAAATCACTCTCAACAGAACTCACAAAAGACAAATTACATACAACAGACCCAAATGTTAAGATTATGAGACACAAGTAACTCTGCTTCAAGAAATGGTGGTTCGAGCTTAAGAGGCAGCTCAATGGTTAAGAAAACTGGCTGCTCTTCCCGAGGTCCTGAATTCAATTCCCAGCAACCACATGGTGACTCACAACCATCCATAATGAGATCTGGTGCCCTTTCTGGATTGTAGGCAGACATGCAGACAGAACACTGTATTCATAATAAATAAATCTTAAAAGAAAAAGAAATGGTGATGCATGTCTTTAACCCCAGCACTCAGAATGCTGAAGCAGGATTGCCTCTCCTCACCAAAATCTTTGCCAAATTCTATCTCTGATGTCAGCTTCATCAAAAATTTCATTAGCATTACTCAGATGAAGTTAACAAGAGTATGCTTTCCTTGGGCTATCAGCCTCTTGTTTTTTTCTGCAGTTTTCACTATAAATAACAAAAGATGTATTGAGTTTTACTAATTAAACAAACCAAACAGAAATAGAAAATAATCATAAATTCCAAAACTCATAAAATCAGCCCCTTGAGCCATGTGTGGTGATGCATGCCTTTTAACCCCAGTTCTCAGAGGCAGAGGAAGTTGGATGTCTGTGAGTTTGAGACCAGTCTGGTCTGAAAGTGAGTTCTAGGACAGCCCCAGAGCTGTTTCACAAATTAATTAACTGAAATGGAAAAAAAATGACTCCTGTTCAGAAATTACACTATACTGCAAAAAAAAACAAAAAACAAAAAAAGAGTAAAATATCATAAGTAAAACACTTTTGTTTACATGCAACAGTACTTTGGTTAAGCTGAACAGAATGTTATGTGACTGTGATTCCAGCACTTCAGAAGGTGAGGCAGCAGTGCCAAGAGTTAGAAGCCAGCCTAGACTACATATGTAGAGTTTGTCCACCCCTCAAAGTGATTGGTGCCAGTAATTACAACACTTAGGAGAGACAGGAATACTGCAGCAAATTCAGTATTAGTCTGGGCTACATAATGAGTTCCATGACAGCTGGGCAACAAAGCAAAAACAGGACCTGGGATGGTGAGGTAGATCAGCGGGTGAGGACACCTGCTGCCAAGTCTAATGACCTGAGTTCAACGCCCAAGACCCACACGGGAGAGGAAGAGAAGTGGCTCTTACATATGACCTCACAAATAAGTACTAATAACAAAGAAAGGCAATTTCTCCTTTTGATAACATCTTTAGTTTATATTTAATTATCTTTGGGAGGGAGGAGGTCAAGACAGGGTTTCTATGTATAACAGACCTGGCTGACCTGGACTTGTTTTGGGGATCAGGCTGGGCTCAAACTCAGATATCCATCTGCCTCTGCCTTCTGAATGCTGGGATTAAAAATGTGCACCACCACTGCCTAGGTTATATTTAATTATCTTAATTCCCCTACGAAAATAAAAAGAATGAAAAAATATGTGCATATACCAGAAAAAAATACTGAAGAAAAATCAAAATATTTCTGAGCAGAAAAACTAACCCTTCGTTGTGTAGATTTACTAAGGTAACGTGAGGAAAACTGTTGAAGGGGGGAATGATGCCAAGTGAGGCATATCATATTTTTTTTAACCACAAGCTCAATGTAGGCTAGCAAGTTTCCAAAACAGCTACCTTATTCTAACCACAGGAGGGCAGTGTCTGTCTTACAAAAAAAATTCTACTGGAACCCTTCAAACTACAAAACACAATTTACAAACTACTCTTATGACACTATGATTAAAAATGAAAACACAAGTTAAAATCAACAGAACAAGGCTAGAGAGATGGCTCAGTGGTTAAAGGCACACTGTGTGCCTGCTATTCCAGAGGTCCTCAGTTTAACTCCCAGCACCCACATGGTAGCAGACAACAACTATCTATAAGGGGATCTGATTGATGCCTTCTGTCTGATGCCCTCTTCCATCATGCAGGTATACATGCAAATAGCACTCACATACATAGAATACATAAACAAATATTTTTAAATGATCAACAGTATAAAGAACTCAAGAGCAGAATGGAGGGATGGCTCAGCTGTTAAGAGCACTTACTGCTCTTCCAGAGGACCCAGGTTCAATTCCCAGAAGCCACATGGCAGTTCAGAACTGTTTGTAACTCTACTTCCAGGGGACCCAACACCTTCACATAAGACATATATGCAGGCAAAACAACAATGCACATGAAATAAAAATAATTTTTTTAAAAAGAGAGAAAGAACTCAAGGGCAATAAACAGGTTCTTAAAGTACTTAACTAATATTACTCCTTAACCAGAAGCAGGCACTGGATATCCCTGTGAGTTCCAGGCCAGCCTGATCTACATTATAAGTTCCAAGTGAGCCAGGGCTATATAGTAAGGCCCTATTGCAAACAAAGCAAAGCAAAACAAAAGGAAAAACAGTATTTAAAGTATCAATGATCTAATAAATATTTTCTAGAACTGCAAAGATGGATGACTCTGAATTTTGAATAACCTGAATCATTTCATTTTACATTTAAAATGTTAATAATATAATAATCCCTAAATGTCTGCCCCTGCTGTAAGAATTATTTACTGACCAAAAAGCCTTAAACAGGGTAACTAATACTTTCACAGTCATGGAGAGCAACCAAAATATATGCAGAATGAGAAGGTTTCAGAAGTCTGTGCTACACAAGACACACAAGATGCCTAAAAGCCAATGAAGAAAAACTACCAAATAGACCAGATGACTAATGGGACTGAAGAAAACCAAGAACATTTTAGTGCTCTCAAAAAATGTCAAAGAGTCAAGTGTGGTGACACAGGATTTTAATTC